CTGTGCACAGCTTTGGAACTTACCCAGAGCCCAGGGGAACATCCCAGTTGACATCCTATTACAATTGTCTCCAACCACCTGGAACTTCTGTTAATCTTCACAGCACATGTTAAAAAAAAAAAAAAGAACAGTTCTGTATTAACTAAAAATATAGAGGAAAAGGGAAGGGGATATAGGAATAATCGCAATGGTTTTCTATTTTGCAAAGCAAACTTACTTTCAAAAAAATTTAGAGAGTTGTGTTATCTACATAAATATAATGAATAATTCAAATGTATTTGAACTCTTTACCCATGTGTACACCTTTTATTGTAATACTAAACTGTCCATTTATAAGATTTCTGCTCTTCCAACCTTGATGAGCTTGGGGATCAAAATTGAACATGACTAAGCAATGTACAGCATACCATTAAAGACAAAATATACTATTTGTTAAAAACACAGAACCACAATTTAAAAGAAGCAAGATGGTATCATGCATCAATATTTAGTGCAGGGGAAGCAATATTTTACTACAGTCAATAAATAAAAGGTAAAGATTAATTTTCTTCTAGAAGGGGAACATAATGTACATTTTACACAGTGTAATATAAAAAATATTATTAGTACAGTAATACCATCACTACTAAAAGTCGAACTTATTACTTATTCAATAAAATGGCTACTTGCTTCTCATCAGTATCACAATTCACTTGACAGATCTGAGGTTTCCTTAAGCAGGTTTTGCTTTAGTGGTCTTCCCTCGTTTTGCCATTCCCAGCTCCCACATAGTTTGACGCATGGAGCAGCTGCTTGCTATAGCAGATGAGCACTATGGTAGTCTAACACAAAGAAATGCCACAGAACCAAAAAATAATAATACAAACAGTATTTTAGAAGAAAAAGTACTTTCTAATAAAAATGGTCAATGGGGATGTCTTTGAAGACAAATATTAAAGCCAACCTTGAAATATTACTTAATATAGTAAGAAAAATCTCTTTCATGAGATTTTATTTTCTGTGTAATTCATAGCCTGATTCTTTCTTATAAACCTTTGAAAAGTGCTGTGAATAGAATATACTGTACTTGGGATTTCAAAAGCTTTTATCCATTAAACTTGAGGATTATAAGATTACATTTCAGGTAACTCAGAGTAAGATTTTTTAAATGTAGGTGCTGATGTGGAATCACATATGAAGATATTATATCCCAATATAGAACTTACCTTTTAAATTTATCTAAATTCTTAGAAATGTCTCACAGTTCATTTTAAGGCAATAAATTGAATAACATGTTCACTTAAAAATATTGTTCCTAAACTTTTTATTAGTATCAAGCGGAAAGAATTTATATCTTTATTGTGACAAGGAGTAATTTAAATAACTCCTCGAATCAGTTTCTTGTCACATAAGATAGTACGTCATTACCAGACAACTTTGCCTCTTGTCAAAAAGAAACAAACCAATTGCACTAGGCTCAAAATTTTGGTGAAAATGAATATTCAGGAAAGTAAACCATAAATGTAAATAAACCCCAATGAAATACATTATACAATTATTGGAGGAGCAGCTATTACTCTGACCATCAACATTGGTACAAGAAGTAAACAGTTTAACTTCACAGGGTTATTTATTAATCTTGTTGGAAATGATTCCCATGATTTTAAGAATGGAGACTCAATACTCCTCTCTTTAGATTCTGAATATCTAGAATATGGGAAACCCACATTATACTAGTCTTGATTCCATGAAAGTAGATTCCCTTCTCTGATCTTCAGCATTTCACTAATGTCATTGCCTATAAATATTGTGAACATCAACCAACAAAACAATATTTCAGAAGTTTTTTGAGCCCTTTGGACCATTTGTGACATCAATAATAACAGGATTCTTTCCAAACCACAATATTTTCCACTCAAAACTCTTCTGTAATATAATTTTGCACTGTCATTGCCTCTTTCTCTCAATTTATTTTTAATAAGGTTTGTTTCAAACTATGAATTGCATGCTTATTATAGGAAATTTGAATAATAATTAAAATTAAAAGGAAAAATACCCATAATTCTATCAATTTTTTCCTCCAGGATTTTGATGAAATAATTGCAATCTAAACAAGGTGTTTCACATATTTTTCCAATGCTAGGAAAAATCTTTAAAGGAATTCATTCAGGCCTTTGATAAATTTGGTTAATATTCATGGACTCCTTTATGGTTAGTCATACCCACTGTGTTTACTAGGAAAGCAAAAGAGGTATTGCCTTGCAGGTATAGTGCAATTCAGAGAATTAAATGCTGGCATGATTTTACTCCACCGAAGGTGTTCCTTCTTCACAAACGTCATTTTAATAGATGTGTCAAAGATAGCCATCACTTATAGAAAGCCTTATTTAATGACACAATCTTCACATCAACCATAACAGTAAGTTATCATTGTTCTCACTTTATAAAACAAAGATCTGAAATGAATCGCACAGCTCCTACACAGTAAAGCCAGAATTTTAGGAGATTTGAACCCTGCTCTCTCTGCTTCCAAGGACATCCTTTCCAGTACAGCCCAGCACCTCACCGTGATTATCATAATCTGCTTAACTAGGCCCTGTGGTTGGGCACTTCAAATGCTCCCCCACCTTTTTTTTTTTTAAACTAACATCAATAATGTTGGAAGCAATATCTTGGTGTATAAAACATTATTTGTTTTTATTATTATTTTCCCAAAATAGAGCCTTAAAATTTGGATTATTGTGTTAAAGGCAGAGTACTTTCAAGGCAATTTGTACCTATTACTGATTGTTTTCCTCAATGAGATTCTTCAAATTACAATTCAATCAGCAAAGCATGAGGATTTCTGCTTCACAGTGCCCTTTATAAAAATCTTGGTCAATTTAATAGATAAGAACTGATTCTTTGTTGCTAAGTTAAAAAAATTTTTTTGGTTCCTATAATTCCCTGTGTTTTACTATATCAATTCTCTATTCTACAGAGTGAAGCTTATATAAGGGCTGCCTAAGTCCTTGAACTAGAAATGGCAAGATATGGGAGTGGTTTTTAGAACTTTTATTCCCTTTCCTCATTCAATGGTTATCCAGCTCCCACTGCAGGTCAGGCACCACACTAGTACTCAGGATAGAAGGATGAAAGCCCGTCCCTGACCTCAAAGAGCTTGTGAACTGGCAAGAGAAATAGACACGGATAGACAATTATAGTACACTGTGACTAGCACTGCGACCAAAGTAACACAGAGGAAGACGCTTGAGAAACACAGAGTAGGGCACGTAAGCCAGCTTCAGGGAGGTCCCGGAAGCCTTTTTGGAGATGCTAAGGCCTGAGCTCTACCTTAAAGAAAAGCAGAAGTTAATCAGCTTTTCCCTGGCATCTCTGACCAGAATTAATTGCTTCCTCCTCTGTGCTCTTTTACTCAAGCATATTGTACTAATATTTGTTTCCACATCTCTCCCTCTCTCACTGGGCTGAGCTTCTTGAAGGGGAGGGACTTTATCCTTAATCAGCCAAGTGCAATGCCCAAAAAAGTAGGAGGAGTGCAATAAACATTTGATGAATTATTTGGAAATGCTAGCCATGTAGCTGTTTCCTCTCATACCTTCCTCTTGACATTTATATAAATATGTATGGTTCCTTTTGATTGTAAAAATAATACTGTTCATCACACACCTTTCAGAACGGCTAAAATGAAAGGATGGAAAATAACAAGTGTTGGTGATGGACTTGAAGCAACAGAAATGCACACACATTGCTAAAGGCAGTAGAAATTGGTACAACCACTTTGGAAAACTGTTGGCAGTATCTATTAAAGCTGGGTAGAATCTCATAAGCCAGGAATTCCACTCCTGGGAACAACCTCAGCACAAAGGCACGCATATGTTCACCAAGATGCATATTTTCATCAAAAGCGGCACTACTCAAAATAGCTCCAAACAAGAAAATACATAGATGCTCATCAAAAGCAGAATGGATAAACTTACTGTGGTGTGGCCACATACAGCAAGGAAAAAGAAGCTACACTCAATAACATGAAGGAACTTCATGAAATTAATTTTGAGGACAAAGAGTCAGATTTTTTCTTAAAAAGCACTTACTGTATGATTACTTTTATATAAAGCATAAAAATAGGCAAAACTATTCTATGCTGTTGGAAGTCAGGAAAGGTCATCCAGAAGTGGAGGGTTAGCGACTGTAAGGCAATAGGAAGGGGGAGATTCTGGAGGTGCTGAAAAGGTTCTGTTTCTTGATCTGGGTACTGGTTACATAAGCATACTCAGTTCTGTATGTGTATTATACTCAAATAGTGTTTTAAAGAATAATACATCTTATTTGAGAGAAAGCTGGAAAATACAGACATGTTTCAAAAAATTTAACTCACCCACAACCCACTATCCAGAAATAACTGCTATTAACATTTTGGATTGTTTCCTTCTAGTCTTTTTTTGAAGCCAAGGTGCTTGTGCTACCTCCCACTGTTCCCCACATATTTACGCACGTACATTTTGCTAAAAAAGGTTCATTTCTATTTAGTTTTACTTTCAGTTTATTTTTACTTCAAGTTAATCCATATCATCAAATATTCATTGCAAGCATTTTTTTAAGCTGCTGCAATATATTCTACCAAATATATATACACATATACACACACACTATATATACACATAGCTCCCAGAAGAAAAGCTACTGGGTCATGAACATTCTTCAAGCTCTGCATTCATTCTCTATTTCCTTCCAGAAACGTTGCATCCTCTGCAAGGGCTCTAACCCTCATACCTTAGATCACAATCCAACCCCAGGTGATTTATTATAATTCCTATTTGCTTTTAAAATGGTCGGGCTTAAAACAGAACGAACGAATCTGCCATTTTAAACCCGGCTGACGCGCTCAGCGACCCCGGCTCTCTCCCTTCCAGGCGCGCGGGCTATGGAGCAGCACCTGGGCCCCCGCAGCGCGGCCGCGCCGGCGCCCTCGCGCCGCCCGGTTGCCGTGGGAACCGCAGAGCGCGGCTGCGTCCGCAAACCCAGCTGTGAGGGGCTCCGAGGCCCGGGCATGGAGCTGCCGGACCCGGTCCGCCAGCGGCTGGGAAACTTCAGCCGGACCGTGTTCAGCGACTCCAACCGGACCGGGCCGGAGTACAGCGAGGGTCCCGGTGAGTGGCGAAGGCCCAGCGCAGGGGGTGTGGCCCGCCGACGGCCTGGCGCCTGTTTTGGTGCGGCCAGACTTTGCCCGGACCTAAAATGGCGGTTTCGCCTTCAGCTGGCCCTCCGCAGTGCGGGAAGCGCCCTGATCGCCGGCCAGTCCTGGGCAGACCACGCTGCGGCCTGGCTGGCGAATTGCGAGTGGTGCTGCTGAGTTGGCGCTGGCCTTCTTCAAAAAAGAAAAATATAAAATCCGCCTTCGCAGCACACGTCCTGTCCCAGCCGTCGGCGAAGGCCGACGTTGCTTTCCCTCTGCAGCGTCCGCCCTGGCTCTGCTGGCCAGGATGGAGCGAAAACAGCCCAGGCAGTCTCCCCGTCCCGCTCCCCACCCCCACCCCGATAACATTTCTTTTCCTTTTTTCTTTAGCTAGCAAAACAAGTATGTTCCACCGCAAGTCCGTTTTCTGGCAGAAGAGATGGAAAGAAGTTTTTTCAATGAGTCATTTTGAACCGCTATCCACTCCAGAGTGGCAGCTGCCACACTAGCATCGCCTTCGACAAAACTCGCCCTCTTCCCTGCTTTCTCCTTCCCCTTCCCTGTATGTAACTCTTTCCCTACGTCTGGTAACAAAATACCGCAACGCTACATTCAGCATGACGACAGGTGATAACGCAGTCACCTTCACCTCCTCGTAAATCGTGATGATGGGCAACATAGTGTCAACCACTCCCATGCGGTTTTTATCACTGAATTCTGCTGGGAAATAGAAATCTTTTCTTCTTGCCTGGTTTAGGGATTTTTAAAAGAGGGCAGAGAAAAGTAAAGTCAATTCCCATAGTTGCGTTTTTTCACCCTGATTACTTGCCTGTCCCCCACATGTAGCCCTCTTCATGATTTAGGATGTACAGAGAAAAAGGTAATGTGAAAAATTAGGTTTTTACAGTTCTGATTCTAAAGCTAAGGGTTAACAGGCACTAAAATCTGATGATGCAAGGTATCAGGGGTCAGCAGACGTTTTCTGTAAAGGGCCAGATAGTAAATATTTTAGACTTTGCAGGCCAAAGGTCTCTGCGGCAGCCACGGATAATGATAATTGAATTGAAATTGTGGAGTTCCAGTGAAACTTTATTTATGGACACTAAAATTTGAATTTCATATGATTTTCAGTGTCACAAAATATTATTCTTTGATTTCCCCCCCGCAACTATTTAAAAATGTGAAAAACTGGTTTTAGTTCACTTGCTATACAAAAACAGGCAGCTGGCTGGTAGTTTGCCTACCCCTGATTTATATAATGTTTTAATTTATGTTCCATTTACAGAACTCGTACTTTTGCAAAATTTAGTAAATTCATGTCTTGTGCTTTCAGGGTTCATTTACATAGTCATTTGGTTTTCAATTGCATGATTATAAGTTTGATCAGCTGAAATATAGACAGTATAACTTAAGATGCTCATGTACAAAATTTCTAACATAAAAACTTCTTTGCAAAATTTGACTACAGTTTTTGCTCCAAAGGTATTAAAATTTTCAGCTTAACTAATTTATCGTTATCTTTCTACATTTTCTTCTTTGTGGATCTGAAGTAGGTTTAATTATTTGTACTATAATTGAAAGTGTCTACCTTACCATGTCCACAGCTGACCAAGAGTTGTACTGTTATGAAAAAAAATCCTAGGCTGGTGAGTTGCCTTCAGATATAACAGATTTTAAGAATGTATTGGTTTATCAGTGATAATTTAATAAATAGGTGCAAGCAAAAGTAGATCATCACAATTTTTTTTAAAGTAGATCATAGTAGTGAGGCATATTCTTGGAGCTAATGGAAGCTTTCTTGCTATGAGAGACCATGATTATTCCTTATAATTTTAAATTTATTAAGTGACAGATATAAAATACTCAGCTGTGGAGACAAAAAAATCAGTTTTTAAGAAATTTATTTTAGGGGCCAGCCCCGTGGCGGAGTGGTTAAGTTTGCGCAGTCTGCTTCGGCGGCCCAGGGTTTCGACGGTTCGGATCCTGGGTGCGGACATGGCACCGCTCGTCAGGCCACGTTGAGGCAGCGTCCCACATGTCACAACTGGACTATGTACTGGGGGGATTTGGGGAGAAAAAGCAAAAAAAAAAAAATTTATTTTAGAGCCTTTGTACATTCCTACATTTAGAGCAATTGATTTCAAAATATGTTTCTGCTCTTAAATTGTTAGAATTTGGTCAAATTTAGGATGCATTTGTAAGACTCAATTTACAAAATCAAATTCTTAATTTAGGGCCCTTCTCCCTTACATAAAAGCAAAAAATGCTATGTAATCAGCCTTAGATAAACGAAACTCACGAATGGCCACACTGATAATGTCCTTATAACAGTGTGTTTTCATTCATTCATTCTTTCTGCTTATGCATATTTGGTATTTACCACGTGTAAAGCAAGATGCTAGATTCTATGAGGGTCTCAAATTTGAGTAGAATGTGGTCTGTGCTTATAGTGAGGCTGTGAATAAGTAAAAGAGAAGGAATGGGGACTAATATTTATTGAGTGCCTACTAAGTGCTAGGCATGGTGGTTGTTGAAATAATTTATATTATCTCTAATCCTCACAAGCAACCTGTGAGGTAATTTTAATGTTACTATTTTACAGATGAAGAAATTGAAGCTCAGAGAGGTTAAGTAACTTATCCCAAGTCTGGCATCCAGAGCTAAGGGGAGTTTGGGGAGTTCCGAGTTTACTTGGACTCCAAAGCTCGTGATCTCTTCAGTACACCAGACTGTGTCTCGAGTGAGGGGAGTGTGGTTCTTTGCTAACACTTCTTATACACAGGTTAGAGTGATAAGTACCTAGAGGGGAAAGAGATTTCTGCTGGGACGGGGGAATATGATCAAGAGAGAATTTATGGAAAAAGTGGTATTGAATTGAGTGTTAATGAATGGGTGGGATTAGGGTATGCTGAAAAGGCATGTGTGTCTATGATTTGGGAGATTAGTTTTTGTATGAAATTAGTTTATATGTGAAAGATTAGTTTTTGTATATTTAGTGTGTTCATTTTATAGGCTCTTTACAAAGAACTCTACAAAGGAGGCAATGATAATTAGTGTTGTCTGTTCACTATGATTCATATTGATATTCCACATTTAATCTATACCAGTAAGTGCACAAAAAGTCAGCAGACTATAATGGCAAAATGGTAAAATAATTGAAAAATATGAAACATACCCCCAAGTAGCCAATATATGAACTAAATAGTATTATGATGAATATTTTCTTTCACAGTCAATGATTATAAATAGGCTTAAATTTGGAGTTTTATTGAGTCAATAGTGTAGTTATTCTAAGGAACTAAAGGATTTATAGGGTGTAGACCAAGATTAAGAATTTGTTCCTTTTCTCTTTACTTCTTCTGTAGATAATGAAGTGGTTTCCAGTTTGGCATTGCAGATGTCACTTTATTTTAACACTTACTTTTTCCCACTTTGGTGGGTGAGCAGTATTATGATGCTTCAGATGAAGGTAAGTCTGTGCCTTTATACTTATGCTGAGGTCTCTTCTGCCCATCCCTTGCATTGTTAGTAAAATTAAAGTTCTTAGTATTTTTGTTCTATCTCAAGACAGTTTTACTATATATGAGATTTTACAAACGTGTTTATTTTTGTTTTTTTAGTATTCAATCTTGCCTGATTACTACAAATTCATTGTGGTCACTGTTATCATCCTAATAACCTTGATTGAAGCTATCCGGTTGTATCTGGGCTACATGGGGAACCTGCAGGAGAAGGTAGGCTCTTCTTTCCTTTTTCTCAGTCTACACATAAATGCAATAAGGTTTTCATAGCAAGGAAAAGGCAGTGAGATGTGGTGAAGGAGCAAAAGCCTGTAGTTAAGGCCTGGCTCCAACTTTACCACTTCTGTCACTGTGGTCTGTTTGCTTAATCTCTTGAGCTTTAGTTTCTTCATATATAAAATGGGGGAAATATTTACTTCACAGGTTTGTTGGGATTAAATGAAATAATTGATATAAGGTATCTGAACGTCGTAAGCACATAAGAATTGATAGTTTTCCCTCTTCTCACCAGTCTTGAGGTACTTGGTCAATCAAACATATTTATTTGGATCCTGCATAAGAAAATGGGGGGAAATTATAAACTCATTTCCTATGCCAGTCATGTTTTTTGAATCATCCTGCTGCCTAAGCATTTATAGTTACCAGAGCTAAGGGATAATGCCCAAAGATTTCTATGGTTCTCTAGGCCCTTCATAATTAGGCCCCACCTAGCCTGTCTCACTGTATTTCTTGCTATTTCCTAATCCAAACATACATTCCAGGCTGATGTGTTGATTCCCAATCATGCTCATTCCACATCTTTGCTCACTTACCTCCTTCTCGCCTCTTTCTCCTTCTACCCAACTTAAAAGCCTACATCCCTGAATTCTTTCTTTCACCTACCCTAATCACTCTCGTCTTATTTCTTGTAACATTTAGTCTATCCCTCTAAGTGGTGCATTTAATTATTCACTAAAGTGTGTATTCAAGGATTGTCACATAAATTACTTGTACTTTTCTCTTCTAATCTAGACTATAAATTCTCTGAGGACAGTGTTATACTCCTTTTGAATTAGAGAGCGCATAATGTAGGTTCAGTCGTGCTAAGTACTTGCCTATCTAAATAGACAAAAAACTATACTTTACTCATCTGATTACTCTTAATGTGTGTCATTGCAGGTTCCTGAGTTGGCTGGCTTTTGGCTTTTGAGCCTTCTATTGCAGTTGCCTTTAATTCTTTTCTTGCTCTTTAATGAAGGCCTAATGAATCTGCCCTTGGAAAAAGCGATACACATCATCTTCAGTATGTTCCTTACTTTCCAAGTTGTTTCAGCATTTCTTACCCTGAGAAAAATGGTAAATCAGCTGGCAACTCGTTTCCACCTTCAAGACTTTGACCAGCTCTCTACAAATAGAGGAGGCATGAGAAGAATGAGATCCTGTATAGAAGAGATTTGACCCAGTGCTGTTGAGTGAAAATCTGAAAGATCATTCTAGAAGACTATAAGAGTTAGGAAAATGTCAGAGATCTAGCATGAGAAAAAGGACAAAGCAAGTGTTGTGTTTTTTCCGCCGAGGAAGATTTTCCCTAGGCTAACATCTGTTGCCAACCTTCCTCTTTTTTTTTTCTTTTTTTTTTTTTCGGTTGAGGAAGACCAGCCCTCAGCTAACGTCTGTGCCAGTCTTCCTCTATTTTGTATGTGGGTCACTGCCACAGCATGGCTGACAAGCAGCGCAGGTCCACACCCAGGATCCAAACCCACAAACCTGGGCTGCCGAAGCGGAGTGCATGAACTTAACCACTACCCCATGGGCTGGCCCCCAAAGCAAATGGTTTGAATTATATATACTCTCTAGCTCTGAAACACCAAAGTTGGGGGCAATAAGACTACTTGTACAGTCCATGAAAGCAGTAAGTCAACCCTAAAGCCTAGATATTGTCCACCTGATGCCAAATATCTTAATTTTGTTGTTGCTGTTGACTTTTTCAGGTGTGTAGAAATCTGTATTGGTGGTCGCAGTTTACCAGATATACTGTGATATTTCTAGTTAGCACCTTTAACTAGAAATGTGAATATTTCTTTTAAACTTGTTGGCTATCCATATGTTGGCAGTACATCTGAAGCATATGGAAATGTTTGTCAATATTCTGGTGTATTAGACTATATTTATAAACCGAGACACCAAATTTTCATTCTGCTAGGGTTAAATTCTAACCCTAGTCTTAGCTATTATAGTGAGGTTAACAAGAAAGCAGGTGGGTTATCATGGTGTTTAGGATATATTTTTATCATAAAATTGTAAGTTTCATGAAACTATGTTCAGTATTTATGGTAGTGGTGTATAAAATGTCTTTATAATAAATTATAAAATATGTTAAAGTATCTGCAACAAATCATTCCTTTCTTGTATAATTCTTTTGTACAGTTCTTTGTACAGTTCCTATACAGTGGGTTTATTATTTTTATTACAGAGTTGCAAGGGAAGAAAGGAGGGAAAAAACCACCATATTAGAGAGGCTTCTAGGTAGTGGGTTCTGTACTAGGCACATTAACCCTCGTGATCTCATCTACTGCATCATTATTCACTGAAGAACTGCTTCATACCCAGTAGATTCACATGAGGCTTGACTGGAAAAGCCAGAGTGCCTGTTACTACATGGTGAGAGCTAGGATGACCAGAGGGACTATATCCATGATCCTAAATGAGCATGTTCCCTTGCTAATGGGAGAAACCTATTTAAGGAAATTCCATTAAGAACAAAGTTGCTTGGGTGTGTCTAAACATTTTAAAGTGATTATTGGATTATCTTAAGGGATATAATATTTTCTTCTTTCCTGTAGGGAAATGTGCCTTTATAAGTAATGTATTTTACTGAGACAGTGGTAGCTATATTTAAAATCGTTCTTTCCAATTTTCCTTTTCTGTAATTCATCTTCATCTTAGGATTTCCATATTTTGCCTTATTCATTCTGATATTGCTTAATTTTTGAAAATGTTTTCACTTCCCACCTTTGATTTCACCTGGCCAAACTGTTTATGCTAATTTTATTATTTCTGTTGTTTCTTATTCTATATAAATTTCAATCAAAAATTTCTCCCCCCATGCACTGGCTCCTTAACCTTTCCCCAGTACCAAAGATGTCACTAGGTATACTCCAATAATTTGAAATTCAAAATAGAATTCTGCTTGGATAGTTTTCTAAAACTTATATTTATTTGCATGTGTTTCCAGATGGGAACAGATAGTGATTCTATGAGAAAATATAAAATAAGAGCACTAAGTCTACATAGCAGATAAATTAAGGGAATGATCAAGAAAGGCTTTTTCTGGGGCTGGCCCCGTGGCCGAGTGGTTAAGTTCTCGTGCTCTGCATCGGTGGCCCAGCTCGTCAGGCCATGCTGAGGCAGCATCCCACGTGCCACAAATAGAAGGACCCACAACTAAAAATACACAACTATGTACTGAGGAGTTTTGGGAGAAAAAGGAAAAACAAAATCTTAGAAAAAAGAAAGACTTTCTATTAAACAATTGTTTACAGAGTTTTGTTTTAAATATAAGAGCCTCTGATACATTTAAAGCTTAATTTAGGATTAAGAGATTAATAGCTAAAATGCTAGAGTTATAATAAAATTTTTAGACTACAAAAATTTGGGGAAAATGAATTTTATTAAAATTTTCCCAAAAAATTTTTTTTGCTGTAATAACTATATTGCTTAAAATGCAGATATAATAAGGGTGGGAAAAAAGAAACTACAAAAGTCACTTGAGAACATGACCAAGTCTTTTGTTTTTCATCTCAACAAAACCATGATTTTGTGTTAGGCTGAACCAGTATTTCCTATTGGAATATACCTGGTTGCCTACGTAACCCTATGAAAATTGAGGTAGAGAAGATATTTACATGTTAGCAAATCTGGAGTTTAGGCAATCTTTATTATATTTGAATAAGTTTGTCCATCCTTAATTCCTATTATATCTTTTTTTCCGGGGATTCACAACACTGTTCTGAAAATTTCTAGTTCCAATGTTGAGCTTCACAAATATTTTGTCTTTCACATATTTTTTCTTCCAGAGGCTTTTTCTCGTCACAGACAAGGTGGATGTAAACTTCTGTAAATCAGAATGATTTTTAAAAATTGGATTTTAATCCACTTATGTTTGAATGCCTAGTATATGCAATGAATAGTGGAGGGTTCATAGACAAACAAGATGTGCTCCCAGTTCTCCGAGATACGATGTTGAAGGTAAACTATTTGCAAGACAACTTTCAGACAAAGTAGAAAAGTCTAACTTTAACAGGGAGGTGCGTTGAATGAGTTTCTACCTGATAAATACCTGGCAGATAACAGTCGTTGGCTTCCAATGCATCCCCCCGTTTGTTCCTAGCATTTAGTGTCCAGGATTAGCACACTGGCCCTTCAATCAACATCATTTAGCATTCACTACTCCTCTCACTGTCAGAGCACGGGGAGGGGGGGTGGCGGAGTGAGTGCCGTTGAATACATACACGCTCACTCATACTTGCCTGTGCGCACAATAATAAATGAGAAGTTTCCAGTCTGACGGAAAAGGCAGATAAGCAAATCAGTGCTGCACAGTGTGATGGGGCACTATAGGATTACAGAGAATGGTCATATAAAATAGGAGGAATCTGGGAAGCCTTCCCAAACAAAGTAACACTTGAGGTTTGAAGACTGAGTGGGTATTGTGTTAATTTCAGTATTAAGGACAGAAATAATAGTGACTCAGAGTATTGCTTCAGGTATTACATGCCGTTTGGTAAAGCTGATGGGAAGAGTGCGTGAGAAGAAACGACACACAGTAAGGCAGAGAAGCTTGGGAGGAACTAGTAAACTGAGCTAAAGATTTTAATATTCTGAATGCCTGAATACTTTAAACAGTGGAATATCACAAACAGATTTAGGTTTCAGAAAGATCTCTCTGAAGACAGTGTGGAAAATGGATTGAAATGGTTGGACTAGAGGTAAGACTTGATAAAATAACTTTGAAGAGAACAAGCCAGCCTTGATAAAGTCAATGGCTGTAAAATAAACTTGACTAGAACCTATTAAAGTTAAAAAGAAATTTATTTTACATTTTAAAACAGGTATTGAAAGTTTTTTCCTAATTCATCCTTTTGGGGATTACACACAATGGTAAACAAAATGACATACTCATTGTCTTATTCACCACCCCCCTACCCCAGTTGTTAGATTATTATTAGATTCATAGAAAGCTCTATCTGAAATAGTTTTTTATAAATTTTATTTGACATAACCTATCTGGATGGTTCTTAATTTGCATTAGTTAAGACTATAGGTTTTAAAAACTTAAAAATTGAATCAAGATTTTGAGAGTAAAGGAAAGAAAAATCATCTATAATTCCACCACTCTAAAATAACAACTATTAGCAAATGTCGTATTTCCTTGCAGTTTTCCCTTTGCAAATGCTTTTTAAAAACATAGTTGTGATCACTGGCACTTAAATTTTGCACCATGCTTTTCTGAAAACGTTATAAATATTTACCCATCTTTTTACATAGTCACATAACCATCATCTTAAATGATTGCACAATATTCCATCGAGAAGATAGATGGTAATTTAACTTCTCTCCTATTGTTGCTATTTGTGTTGTTTCCTTCTTTTGCTTTTATACGTAACATTCTAATAAACGTCTCATGTATACAGTTTTTTCCTTATCTTAGATGCTTTTTTTTAAATTAATAAGCTAGATTCTCAGAAGTGAAATTGCTGCATCAAAGAGTGTGAACATTTTTAAGGACTCAATGCATATTGCCAAATTATAATACCTGCTTTCTGCCATTTACCACCCACAGTTCTAAAGATAGTATAATGAAAATTTTTACAAGAACAGACTTATGGACCTTAGTGACTTATTCATCTTTGTGTTTCTGAGTAGGAACCACAGGAACACTGAGTCTCCTATGGAGGAAAAAAACTAAAAGCTGTGAAAGGAGAAGTGCAATGAATAAAAAAAAAAAAAGATTTTTGAATTAAGGGAAAACTGATAAGGATAGGAAAAGGATTAGGCAAGCTGGTTGCAGTCAGCAACAGAATGTGAGATGTGACACAATAAAAACTGGGTCATTGAGTTGGGACAGCCCTAGGACATAAAAAGACTGAAATGAAGGAAAGCTCTGGATTACTTTGTTCTTGAATATTGAATTTTTTCAGAAGCATGGAGCATGAAATATTATAGTGATAAGCCAAGATTGGAAACATAGCCAAGAAAAAGAGGTCTTTAAGGGATTGTTTAAAATGTGCTGAAGGAATAATTTGGTTTGGTCTTAAACGGCTCAAAAAGTAAATTGACATAAAGCTTTTGCATAGCAAAATAGGCATGGAGGCAGAAAACAATGAGGCAAGTGGAACGGTTTACCCTGTAAATCTGTTACAGTGTAAAACATCAGATTTTGGTCCTAGAAAAGGTTTATCAGAAAACTTAAATGCTGTATTTTATAAGTGCAATTAACACTAATTTGTTATGGGTATTTATCTTTATTCCAGTTTTTTAAAGACTGTTAATTTGGGGGTTTTAAGTCAATAAAAAACAAAACTAAACAGTTAATTGTAAGAATCATCCTAAAATTTTTTTTTCCCTTTAGCATTTAGCATTTCAAAACATTCAGGCCCTAGAAAAATGTGTTTAAATACAGGTTTAACTACAAGGTTTAAATGTATCCTGGTGCTTACATAGATTCACATCTTTCTGAAAAATGACGCTAAGCATCAGTGTGTAATCATTTTAACCAGAAAGTCAAGAAAGAACTCTTAAAAACAACATACAAACCAGAGGAGAGATGGAACATACTGAAGACACTTATCAACATTCTCAATCTAAACAAGTTCCACAGCAACAGCCTTGACTAGAGAGGGCTTTTTAACCTAGTGAGGTATGTACAGTCACAACGTATACATCACAGCAATTTGTCCTTCCTTGTTCACAGACTTAAGTGTTTAGCACTTGGCTACATTAAAAATGTAGACTTTTTAAAACAATAATCAACCAAGAATGGCCTTCTCTCTTAATTTTTCAGAACTCTAATGGCACTATATTTGGCTGATAGGAAAGTGGTATTATCGATTCCTCTTTAAAGGTTTTTAGTTCCTGATCTTAAGTTATTTATATTCTAATCAAAACACATTGGATATACTGCTCAACATTATAGCCCAAAAGAGAAAAATGTTTGATATTCAAATTCAAATTTTAAAAAATGTTTGATACGCACATTTCATAACTGCTTTATAAATGCTTGATTCATTAGTGCCTGAAAGTACTAAAATGATCCTGAGAGAGTGGAAGTTTAGGACTTTGCTTCAATAGCTTTCCTAAAAAGAATGAGAGCTATTAAGAGTCA